GGTGGGAGGACGGCGTGGATGCTCCCTCTTCATTAATGGAACGAGATCACCAATGATTTCATCGATTTCATCACGAGCAAACAGGTTGGAAACCTAAACAGGAAGAACATTTTTATTGTACCCCACATACAGTCAGCTGTTATTATTATTTTTTTGAAGGCATTTAGCTACCTCGTCAGAAGCTCTCTTTTTTTTCGCTTTTTAAAACATTTTTTTCCTGCCTGTTCGCCTGAACCGACAGGAAAGAAATGCTTTAAAAAGCAGGGGGGAAGCTTCTGACGATCACGTGGCTCACAACTGATCTGTGAGATTCAGTGGTGGGTTTCAAAAAAATTTAGAACCTCTTCAGTAGGTGTGGCCTGCTTTGTGGGACCGGCTTGCAGGCCATGTGACTGGGTGGGAGTGGCTTGCCCGCCATGTGGCTGGGTGGGCGTGGCCAAGTTGTAAAATGTGGTGAAACTCACTTAACAACGCTCTTGCTTAGCAATCAAAATGTTGGCTCAGAAACTCTGGCATTTGAAGCACGCAAGTCTGAATCCTTAACCCTTTAGGGAAAAAACCCCAGGGGTGTTCAAAGTTGACAGCTTTAAGACTTGTGGACTTCAACTCCCAGAATTTCTCCTCTTGGTCTTCATCTTGATGATGTGCGGACGGGCAAGGGGAGGGAGCTGGAACCGGTTCTAAACGGCACTGTAGATTTGTGGAACTTCTTCTATAGAAGAGGTTAGGACTGGCAGGAACCCACCCCTGGTGTGATTGTAGGAAACTTTTTTTTCGCTTTTTAAAGCATTTTTAACCCTAACCATAACCCGAACCCGAACAGGCAGGAAACAATGCTTTAAAAAGCAAGGGAAGCTTTCGACAACCTCACATCTCACAGCCGAGCCGTGCAATCCTCAGAAGCTAATTTTTACTACCAGTTTGCAGAACCAACAACAATCATCCCTACCAGTTCGGGAGAACCAGTAACATTTCACCCCTGATTTTAATTATAATTCATTCATTGCTATTTTATTGTTAACTATTTTAAGTGCTAGTTTTGTTGGGGGGGGGAGGATAGGATATGCCAATAAAATATTCACGTTTAATTTTCCTTTCTCTTCTCTTTTATTCTTAAAATCTGTGGCCATCCAGATGTTACTGAATTACAGTAACATCCAGATGTTACGGAATTACAGCCCCTAATCTGCCTTGCTAGCTAAGGCTTCTGGGAGATGATTGTCAGTAATATTTGGAAAGTAACAACTGGCAATCTCTGTGTTTTTGCCCTAGAAATAAAATATTCTCAATCAATGTGATTGTACTAAAAGTTTTCTCCAAGTCTGTCTTTACTGATTTATAATACTTGAGTAGTAAATTAACTAAAGACTAAGAGTTTGATCTGCTCTACATATTTATTAAAAAAAATCAGTAATCAGCAGGAAAGTTTTTTCATCAGCAGTGAACTCAAGCATAGAATTTTACAGAATCCGTTGGTCAATATAACCTTATCAGCCAAGCTCTCTGTTTCTGAAAACCCAGGGCTAATTCAATGCCAAGAAGAAAGATGAAAATCCTACTTCTCCTGATGATAGAACATTGTTCATATACTCCAGGAAAGCTTCATCTTTTATTTCATTATCTGAAAAAATGAAACTGATTCCTTTCCCTTGCTGCCCAGCAGTCTTATACAGATGTTTCAAGTCTTCCATCAAATTAGATGCATTGTAGGATCTAGAAAAAGGGGGGAAAAAATAAAATTGTCACAAACAATCCAGGCTTCCTAGCTTACAAATAATTTTGATTGAAACAAGGTGCCTTAAAATGAGAACAATTTATTTTGGCCTTTCTGCTCAGTGCCTGTTTTAATGGCTGTTGCTTTTAGAAATGTGTAGTATCTCTACCTGGTTGTATCTATACAATTTAATGCCCACCACTATTTAATTCTTTTTCTCAATCTACTGTTTTATCCTTCATTTTTGTTTCATTGTTCTAAGCTATATAATATTCCAATAATACAGAATGTAAACATAATTAACAAACCAAATTGTTTTGATACATAAAACGCCAGTCGCTTACTCAAATACTAAATTTATTTCTTTTAAATGGAATATATTTTATGTAAGAAGTAAGGCAGACATTTTCTAGGTATTCCTATATATATTTATAAATTTTTATTTTAAACACATAAGCACATCAACAGAAACAAACACATAACTTAAAAACAACATAGGAACAATAAGTTCCATTGTATATCATGCCGCAGTTCCGAATTGGTTTTAGTCTAGAGAAAACAGAAGAAATCCTTTCTGAATTTAAACAGATATACCAGTCTCCTAAAATCCTACTACTCAACACTCTAAAATAACAATGTTCATAAAATATTCTGCTTTCAACTTCAACAGATATTAAATTGTCAGATATATATATATATATA